GTGGTGTTGAGTGTTCAGGGTGTAGAGTGTAGACTCAGTGTGCAGGGTTGTCTCTCTTTCTCTCTTTTATCTTCTTGTCTCAGTCCTGCAATAAAAACAGACACTGTACTACATCAGTTTGCAGTATAAAGCAAGAGACATACTTAGTTTTGGTGAATCATTGAAGTACAGGAAATTGGGGAAATATTTTTGTCATTGAAATCAAGAAATGGAGCCTGAGAGAGGGACAATCAGAGTTTAAGGCCTTAAAGAAACATTATAGATGTGTCTGTTAAACTGACGGCCTAATGTAGCTCCAGTGTATGATATTATTGCCTTATTAAATGAACAGAAGGGGTTAGAGACCACATTACCTCCTCCCTGTGCAGCGGGTCAGAAGCACGGCTGTGAGTCCCAGCATCACCAGCACAGACAGCACCGTCCTCACTATGAACTGCACTGGCCTGGGGCCTGGAGAGAGACATCAATCAGTGCTGGTGATGAAGATAGACAGCTGTTCAGTCCACTTGAACTGGGTCCTACTTACAATATGTTCTAACGTATTTCACTTACTATCAAGGGCGACTGTACCATGTACATCTCCATCTATTTTCCCATGTGCTCCTTTCTCCAAGTATGCATTGGACACCAAAATGATATTGGTGAATGAAACTGAGAACTGATGAGAAATATAAGCAAAGCTAAGTAGCTCATCCATACAGTATCTCACAGTGCAGTACAGACAATAAAAGTCTCAGTCTCACTCATTTACTGTGTCTGTCCCAGCTGAGCAGTATCTCTCAGTGCAGTACAGACCATAGGAGTCCCTCTCACTCATTTACTGGGTCTCTAGAAGCTGTGCAGTATCTCTCAGTGCAGTACAGAAATAGGAGTCTCTCTCACTCATTTAGTGTCTGTCCCAGCTGTGCAATATTCAATTCAATTCAATTCAAGGTGCTTTATTAGCATGTATCTCACCAGGGCAGTAGTCCTCAAGCCTGACAGAGGTTGTGCTGCTGTCGACAGGGTTAGTAGCTGAGCAGACGAGGGGCTCAGAGAGTCCTGCTGCCTCCAATTGAAGAGTCAGGTTGGTGGAGAGAGCAGAATTCTTGGTGGAGATCAGTGACCTTCCCTCTGTGAGCCAAGACAGGGTGACCCCTCTCCCGTTCTCCACTGAGCACAGCAGGGAGCAGGATGTGGTCGATGGAGAGGCTGAGTAAGAGGCCTGGACTCGTGGCTGGGACACAGGACCTGTACAGGAGAGGAGACAGAAAATAATTTGTCGGACAATTTATTGAGAACTATTTATTGAAGAACAGGAGAACAGTTAGCTAAACACGCTTTGTATACATGATGCAGAAAGGGTTAACAAAAGACAGTAATAAATGTTTTCAATAAGAAGCAATTTCCGTCACTAGTTTCTTTTATTCTGTTTGCTATTTCATTTGATTTTCAAAAAAGATAAAAAAGATAAGAGTCTTATAACTGGACTGGAATTTCGAAAAATTGACCTGAGAAAACCAAAATGAATTACGTATTGATAGTGAATCTGATTATCAGATCATGAAAAACCAGATTTGTGCGATGAATCTATCACCCCACTGTGTGGAGCCTGGGAAACTCTGAGAAAGAACAGCCTACTTATGAAAAAGACTGAGCTGTTCACACATTATTTACTGTACATCTGCAAGACATTTCTTTGTGGAAGAAATGAAAGATATAACCACAGTAATGAAGAGACACAGTATAAGTGTCTGGTTTATCAAGTTTTTCAGAAGACTTTGGATAAAGTTCTTCATAAGCGATTCTCAAATTACAGCAGGCAGTCAGGGAAACATGCGTGTCTGAATTGAGAATTGGTTATTACAGTAAATAGAAAGTTGCTGGTGACTGTAGCGTCCTGGGCGGTGAGCCTGCAGTCACACAGGTATTTTATAGAAGGAACCGAGTCTCTTTAGTCTGAAGGGAGTGTCCCAGACTGACAGGCTGAAGAAACCGAGTCTCTTTAGTCTGAAGGGAGTGTCCCACACTGACAGACTGAAGGAACTGAGTCTCTTTAGTCTGAAGGGAGTGTCCCACACTGACAGACTGAAGGAACCGAGTCTCTTTAGTCTGAAGGGAGTGTCCCACACTGACAGGCTGAAGAAACTCAATCTCTTTATTCTTCAACAGAGAAAACGTTCCTGATGCAAGTAGAGAAAATCCTCAAAGGAACTGATGACACCAACCCAATCGGTTATGCCCCCAACAGCTGGGTGGTCAGTAGTAGTTAACTTCATGTACTGTAGCTCACTTACTGTACACTGTCAATTTCACTTCAGTTTTTGTGCCCTTCTCTCCACTCTTGTTTTCGATAGCATAAACTCCACTGTGATTGGACTTCATGTCTGGGATGTAAAAGAGTCCAGTCTTGTTGTCCCAGTGCAGTCTGTCACTGAACTCTGGTTGATTGACTATCAGCTTCCCGTCGACCACCCTTGCAATGTTGTGACCATCTTTGTCCAGGAATCCTTCTCTCAACACTGGATCAGTGAAATAGAGGGTTTCCCCTTCTGCTCTAATATACTGCTTCAGATGAGACTGGGAGACAGAGCCCGGAGTTCCTGAAACACATAAAGAAGAGATGTAGAGAGAGAAAGGGAGAAGGAGAAGGAAAAAGAGAATTCAGGAAATTTCAGTATTTAAAACCAGAGAACACCTCCACTGAGGGGGAGGGGGGTGGGTCGGGTCACAGTGACTATGAGTCCATATCCCAGATGGCCCGCTGTTACTGTGTGCTTACATGAGGAACTTCATTCAATTTGCTCCAGTAGCTCCCCTGCATGTAATGTATGAATGAAGAGGCTGGTATCGAGACTCTCACACTCGAACATCTTCACACGGATCACTGAAGTTGGAATTAGCATCCGCTGACTAGAAATGTGATCATCTTACTCCCATTTAAATATAGAAGCAGAATTGAAAACAATGATTAGTCCCAAACCAGAGGACTTCTTGAAGAAGCATCTTGTTCAATGAGCCCCTCAACCTGGATTTGAACCCACATTCTTTTAGCTATAAGGCCCAAATCCTAATTCACAGCACCACGCTGCTGCCTAGCTATCCCTCAATAATAAACAGCAATTAACACATGTATCACAACAGATTAGACTCATAACATTAATAAACATATATCACAACAGGTGACAGAAATACACTTGAACAAGCACAACCATCACAACAGGAGACAGCAAACAGTAAACTGCAGCTATATATCAATGTGATTCTGACTCACTGAGACAGGAACTGGGTCAGTTAAGTCTCTGAGAGTCCCAGTCCTCCAGTCAGGACTGTAAATTAGTGTTAATCTGACTCACTTGGACAGAAACTGGGTCGGTTCAGTCTGTGTGAACCCCAGTCCTTCAGTCAGGACTGTAGAGCAGTGTTAATCTGACTCACTTGGACAGTAACTGGGTCAGTTTCAGTCTCTGAGAGCCCCAGTCCTTCATGTCCTAAATAAGATCTCTTCAGACAATAACATTTTCTTCTTATTATTGTAATTTTTCAGCATCCACAGCAATAAAACTTTTTCACGCATGATGACAAATATACAGTAGAATCACTGGAGCAATGGAGCCTTTAATAAAAATGTATCTGTATTAACAAAAAGGAAGTCATTCTAACCATGTGGTCAAGTGATCCGTGAGGCCCCAGTACTCCTGCTGTGCTGGTGCTCCACACTCACATCCTGACCACAGCTCTGACACCCTCTCTCACCCGGCCCACTCTTTCTAACAGGAGCAGGCTTGACGTTCACAGCTTTTAGCACAGCTTGCAACCCAGCACGCTCACTTGTGCAGAGTAGGAGCAAGAGAAACTCCAAAACATCCAGCAATGCTCCATCACCATGGTCCCTGTCCTCCTCCTCACCCCCCCCTGTCCCGACCGCGCTGTGTGTCCGCAGAGCACTGAGAGTCCAGCTCCTCCAGGACTCCGGCTCCTCTCCGACAGGGACCTGCAGCCTCGTGCCGGAGGCCAGCCTGAGGCCCTGCTCCCATGTGCTGTCAGTGTGTTAAGGGTGGGTGCGGTAGAGGAGCTCACTTACCCAGCAGGCTCAGGGTCAGGAGCAGGAGACAGAGGCAGCCCATCTCTCCTCAGTGCGCAGAGCAGATCTCTCAGCTCGCCTCAGACACATCAGTATATGTAGACCCACCATCACACCCCACCCCCACCCAGACCACACTACCCTCCACACAGTGTGCAGAGTCGCACACAGCAGGACCGCTTTCCCAGAGCTTCGCTGAGTGCAGAGCGCAGAGACGTACAGGGACGCTGGCCCTCTCAATGCAAACACATTTCAGCTATTTCTTATGCTACTGAAACATTGTATGGTATAAGCATGTGCTGGGCCGAAGGCTGCTTAGAATTACAAGTGCCACTAAACTAAGTGCATTGTTTTGTCTGGTTTTTAATGCAAAAGACAAGACATATAGAAAGTGTGTTTTCAAACCTTTGATTTTTGACCGTTCTTGAGTGCAATGCACGATGCTATATAGCCAGGGCAGGAGAAATAGATTTGTCTGCTCGTTGACAAAACCCTCCCTGAACTAGTGTCTCAGGATTGTCAAACTGCTCATGACTTCCACTGTGACTGTGCAGTTCTTCACACTCGGAAGTCCAGTCTGTCCAAAAAAACGATGTCATCCAGTCACATCCCAGGAGACTGTGAAGGCCTTGGCCTAATTAAGTACTGCAACAAGAAAGAACACAAGACCAAAAAAAAAGAAAGAGACACTAGCCAAAATGGGACTGGTCTGAAATTCAGTATTCAAAGGTACAGCTCATCTTCACTGTCTATATCATCCCATATAGTTCCTATGTAATATCGTCCCATATAATCCATGATTATACATAATCGTTCAAAACACCTTGTTACAGCAACGCTGTCTTGATAAATTGTCTTTAAGGCACATTTTCTGCATCAGATAGTGTTATTAAAATGCAAGCATCGTTCAATACCATATTTGCATTTTAACAAGTATACGCATTTGTACAACAAAAGCACATGCAATTTGCATTACTTCAATGTGATCCCAATAGAAGGCTAAGACCTCTAGGTTTTGAGTTAGAAGAGACTTGACTAAATGTTTAGTATCATGTTGTATTCTGCCTTATGAAGTTTTCTGAAAACATCAAACCACAAATTGTCTGCATCATCTAGTTTGCCGATGACACCACAGCAATCGGTCTCATCAGCAACAATGATGAAACCGCTTACAGGAGTGAGGTAGCAGAGCTGGTGGACTGGTGTCACAACAACAGCCTCACACTTAACATCGGCAAAACAAAAGAGAATATATTGGACTTCAGACTCCCATCATCATTCACAGGGCTCCAGTCGAAACTGTCAGCACCTTCAGGTTCCTCGGCCTCCAGATCAGTGAGAGGCTGAGCTGGCCAGAGACCACTGCTGCCTTCCTCACTGAAGCCCACCAGCGCCTTCACTTCCTGAGAGGGTTAAGGAAGTGGGGGATGAGCAAGACGCTCACCAATTTTTACCGCAATACGATTGAGAGTGTCCGGACTGGTGGTATTACAGTAAAAAAAGCCATACAGATTGTTGTGAGGTCCGTGCAGAAGATCACTAGGACCGAGCTACCCTCCATCGACCGGATATATCTCGACAGCTGCCACAACCGGGCTCAAGCTGTACTTCGGGACCCAATTCACCCAGGCCACGATCTGTTTTCACCCCTGGGTTCTGGTAGGAGGTATCGCAGTGACCAATAGATTCAAAAACAGTTTCTTCCCCCAAGCAGTTGATATCATAAACACCTCAAATTAGCACCTGCACTTTAAGGAACTGCACTCTTTGCACTATGTCCTGTCTTGGCTGTAATATAACGTCTATTGTCAGAATTTATTGTCCATGTCTGCTTGTCATTTGTGCCTATTTTATTTTCTCTAATGTTACTGGGTACAGCTGAAAGAGTCAGCATTCCAATACACTTGTTGTATATGGCAAATAAAGAAATCTTGAATCTCCTTATGTGACTGGGAGCAAACAATGGCAAAGATCAGGCATAACTTATTAAATAGGCTCCTGATATTGTTATATCAGTCGTGCCCATCTTCGCTCTTGGTTTCCATCTGAAAAAACACTTTGTGAGGGAGAAGCCTGTGTCCAACAGCTTTTAAACAAGACAGAGTGCCTTAATCTTCTGTCATAGGTAGGGAGGTGATCTAGGTCACCTCCTATGCATAAAGCACTTTGGGATTATTTGGGATGGAAGGTGGTGTATACTGGGCCTATAGAAAGTCTGCAAACCCCTTCAGAAAATAAAACATTTCGTGGTCTAACAGCCTGAAACCAAAATGCGTTAAGTCAGAATTTATTTTACCTTAATTTACACATTGAAACCCACAACCTCTTAGTGAAAAACAAATGCTCACACATTCTGAAAAATAATTACAAACGAAAAACCTGGAAAAGTTGGTTGGGTAAATGTACACTGTAGGCAGTGTAAACGCACTCTAACACTTCATTAATGAGAACAGAAAAACCCCTTGTGCTCATCCACGAGCTTGGAGAATCTCAGAATGTCATTACTCAGCTTTGACAACATCTCCTTCAACATCATCTGCTTGATGTGATTCACCTCAAGTCGTGGGGTGTGAATACACTTCTCCGCTTTGTCAACTCTGCAGATGCTAGTATTTGATGTGTGTAGCACACCGTTTCGCTAGGGCCCTCCTTGGCAGTAGATCACATAGAAACTCTCAGAGAGTTGAAGCAATAAGACATTTTGCTGACTTTCTTATCGTCTTTCGCTGATGGGCTCCAGGAGACCTATCAAATGAGGCGCAAGTGATTCTTCATGTCATTTGAAAAGTCGTGTGAGGTTGATCAAATGTTCTTGATAGGAGCACGCTGTGTAAGTCAGAGAAGGATCGCTGTGTTCTCTTTTGTCACTGGCTCACCTCGTCCTGCACAGACCTGCTGATCGACAGAAGGCACCAGATCACCAATGACTACCCCCTTTAAATTCACACCGGAACAATGTGCCCGAAGGACTTCTGAGACCATTTACTGAAAATGGTCAAACAGCCCAAACAGACAAGCAAATCAATTAGTCAATGACCATCTAATTGATAATCTGTCCTCAGGGCATGCTGGTATCTGACCAGCACTACTAAAGAAAACAAGACACGTTATTCAGAAACCATGGAGAGAGCTCTTCCAGCAGTCTCTCAGTGCAGGGCTCCTATCCAGGGGCTGGAGATGTGCTCATATAGTGCCCATCACTAATAAAAGGTCTGCTGACGAACCGGAATGAAGTAATTACACAGCTGTAAGTCTGTCTTCTGGTACATGTAAAGTTACATGTATTAGAGTCAGTTTAGAGTATCACATGCAGTATATGGAGATAATATCCTAGGAAACAGAATGGATTTAGAGAAGGGAGGTCTTGCCTGACCAACGTGTGTGAATTATTTGAAGATTTAACCAAATTACAGCAGGCAGTCAGGGAAACATGCGTGTCTGAATTGAGAATTGGTTATTACAGTAAATAGAAAGTTGCTGG